CATCATCTCTGACTGTTAAGTAGAATACCCGAATCTGAAACATAATCCGATTTCAAACTCCCAAGAAATCCCTCATCTCATTTTCACTTTACTCTTGCTTTCGTTTATAATCATTTTAATAAGGTTTAATAATTTTCACTCAATTGTTGTTCTTTCATGGTTTTAGAAAGGTATCGGTGCTCAACACTCTTTGCCTGTTTATATTCTATGAGTACTTGATGCACCGTTATGTTGTGTTCATAACTGATGTGCTGTTTACCCTCCTCTTTGGAAGCCACATGTAACTCTCTCAGTACCTTATCGCTAACATTTTAATCAGTAAACTCTTTTTTTAATCGCACAGACCGGAACGCCAGTCCATTCATTGGACATCCCCTCATTCCATATTTGCCTAATGGATGTGAGGACTTCCCGGTCTATACATTCTCCTCTTTATTTGAGAAGCTCGGTATTAATGCGATCCTCGCGCAGAGCTTTATTGTTTTTACTCTATGGCGTCTTTTTGTGTAGGCTTCTCTCTGGTTAGCCTATCTCATTGATGTCATCATCCAGATTGACATCTTCAGTTAATTCTTTAGTATTGTATATGTTAAGAGTTTAGGAGCATCTGTTCTAATTTCCTAGTTCATATATTTGATCATGCTGAAAGTCTCCCTTTTCTCTTTTATCTTGCCATAAATTTGGAGTATATATTGAATATACATTCAATATCAACAATGAAACTACACAAATCTGCCCCACTCCTTTCAAAATACTTTGCTTTTCAGTGTATTTTCATGAATTTACACGAAAGCAACTTGTTTTCAAAGAAATTAATAATTATTCAAGTATCTCTGTATTCTGTATGCGCGTTCTATTACAAAAAAGTTGTGAATTCCGAAAGAATGTTTATGTTTGTTTCATCGACTTCGAGAAGGCGTTCGACAGAGTCCAACACAATACACTTTTCGACTGCCTACGGGCAGCAAGACTTGACCACTATGATATAAGACTGCTGAAATACTTATATTACAATCAAGTAGCCTCTATCCAAATTGGAGACAGTCCCACTGAAAAAATACCCATCAAACGTGGAGTACGGCAGGGTTGTGTTTTGTCACCCACTCTTTTTAATCTGTACTCTGAAGAAATCTTTAGGGAGGCTTTGGATGGCAGACAAGAGGGAGTAAGACTAGGTGGAGAAGTAATAGACAATATTAGATACGCTGGCGATACAGCCATTCTTGCAGAAAGTTTACAAGATCTCCAATCATTACTAAATCTAGTCAGTGAAGCAAGTTATCGGAGAGGCCTAAAAATCAACATTTCAAAGACAAAGTAGATGGCAGTAGGAAAGATCCATATAGATCAAGGTCTGCTTTCTCTTAATGGAGAAGAGATAGAAAGGGTAAATCATTTCAAATACCTTGGCAGCTGGTTAAATGTAAATTGTGACTCTGATGAAGAGATAATATCCAGGATCGAAATATCACGTAAGGCTTTTATGACCTGGAAACCAGTTTTATGCAACAGAAACCTGTCAATGAATATTCGTAAGAAGGTCCTGAAATGTTATGTGTGGTCGATCCTATTGTATGGTTGTGAGACATGGACGTTAAAAACCACAATGCTAAACAAGTAAGAAGCATTCGAACTGTGGTGCTATAGACGAATCCTAAAGATATCGTGGATTTCGCACACTTCCAATGAAGATGTTCTTCAAATGATCAATTCAGAACGTCTACTCATAAACACCATAAAGAGGAGAAAAACAGAATACTTCGGCCATATAATTAGAGGACCTAAATACCATTTACTTCGCCTTATAATACAAGGAAAAGTGGAAGGAAAGAGATGGAATGGTCGAAAGAAACTTTCATGGCTGCGTAATATTAGACAATGGTGTGGTTTCACAGTAGAAAAATTATTTCGCGCAGCAGCCGACAGAGAAAGGTTTCAGGAAATTGTAAACATGATGACGGCCAACGTCTGAATACGGACACGGCACCCAAAGAAGACAAGTATCTCTTCCATTCTGTATCATCTTTTGAAGACTTTACATAAGCTTATCATGATATAGGTAATGTCTCAAAAACCGTTTTATAATCGATGAAACAAACATAAAAAGAAAAATTATAAATCTAAGAAAAGCGGGTATTCTTAAAACAACATCATAAAGCAATTTATAAGATAATTTTTAAGTTTTTTTTAGAAGCAGAATTAATTACTACTTTTTGTACAAAATATGCTGTCTTTTTGTTATGTTATTTCAAATAATATAAGAATCACGAAATATTTATATTTACTGGATCTGTGTTTGTTTGCGTACCAATTTGGTGGAAGGTTTTATATTTTGTATATTATCTTTTTGAATATTGTACCCTTTTATATAATATATTTCAAGTTGTTTGTGGTTTTTATTTTACCATCTTATATACCAAAAAAAAGTTCTAAAAATCCTATAAAAATCCGAGAACCACCCAATAGCAGATGGTTTGTCTAATGCAGGGGTCGGCAACCTGCGGCTCGCGAGTGAAGTTGGATGTGAAGCTGCGGCTCTTTAGTTCCACACGCAAATAATAATTATTTCAATATAAGGTTGAATGTTCGAATAATTAAACTTTGACGGTATACAAGGCAACTATCGAACACAGTAGTTAATTTAATCTTGCCCAAGTACTTTCGATCTATAGATCATCTTCAGGGGCATCTGAAATAAGCCAAGAAACGTTTTTTATAAAAAAGGAAAATTAATTCACTTGGATAAAAAACTCCAAGTTTATGGTTGAAAAAAGTTTTTATGTGATAAACGTTTATAAACTTACTTCGTCAGTTGTGGCCTATCCGACATGAGTAGAATGTCATACATGTAAATTTGGACATAACAATACAAAATACAATACACAAAGACAAACAAATACTTTAAAATTTTTAAAAAGGAGAAGCTACATGTTATATAGAAGCCGGAGACAGAATGGGCTCCCGGTCTGGCGGAAATATTGAGGTGACAAATGACAGCTTGTAAAGGGCAGTTATATGATCTGCACCTTTCAAAATTCTATGAAACTAAATATTGACCAAAGGTCCAACTGACACCACTATAGGAAATCAACTGATGCAATATAAAATTATATAGTATATTTTTTATGTAGATTGAATATTCCAAATCTCACACTCAAACCTGTCTATAATAATTAGGATGTTAGTTTGAGAGCAATTGAAGTTGACATAAAGTATGAATGTAAGAAAAGAATAACAATATATTAGACAGTGGATGTTGACTACAATAAAATGGTCCACCAAGCGCAATCAGTACTGTAAAAACTATTCATAATTATTTTTTTCGGATATGCGAATTACATTGCAATTTGAATGTCGAGATTTATTTACATTTTTTATAAAATGATTTTATTGATTTATTGGAAGAATTGTTATCAAACTTAAGGCGAAATATGTGGTTTCTACAAGATAGTACACCATTACATTACAGAGAAAGCGGAGTGAGACAGTTTTTAAATACACTTTCCTGAACGTTGGATTGTTCGTGGTAGTCATATTCTTGTGATGAGATAATAATAATTGTTTAATTCATAAAAATTTCAAAAAATTACTTATTATTATACTTAAAACAACTATAATAAATACTGCAGCAGTTTCTTTAAAACCAATGATGCTATTTAATATGAGACGATACACTTACTTTGACAAAAAAAATGTTATTTAATTTAACTATTTTTTTAATTTGGTTTGTAAATAAATACAAAACGTAAAATGTTTTATGTAAAATCCAATTATTCTGTTATTTTATCAAATCCTGTCATTTATCCTGCTGATATATTTATTTCATTTAATATTTCGTTAACTATTGACTTTATTAAAGGTATTTTATAACAAAATTCAGAAGTATTGATGTTTTTATCTATTTTTCTTTCATTGCCTGGAGTAATTGCGTTAAATCAGAATTGTGCAGTTGATTTGTAAAATGCGATTATCTCGAAAACTGTTGAGTTTTGAAGTTAATAACAAGTAGGTATACCTTTTTTTGTTAAAATAATGTATCTTTAATATTTTAAATCAAGAATACCGGTAACTTAAAGAACAAAAAAGTTAAGTGTAAATGTATGCCACGTATGTAGCATATGTGGCGCCCTCTATTAGATATATTAAAGTATGCATCAAATTATAATTTCCGATATTCAATAGTACACAGATGTAAATTTTTATACATAAATGTTAACAAACATGAAAGTTATAGCCAAAAATAAAATTTTAAATTTTTACTTTAACACCCTGTATCTTTTTTCTCATCAACATTTTATTAGGGAATATTTGGCCAATAGCCATATTTTGGTCCAGATAACCTGTCCTTAGTCTATGTCCCAATAGTTATGACTCACCCTGTAATATGGAAAATAATTGCTTTGTTGTTGTCTATACTGTGATAATTGCAAGAAGAAATAATCTTTTAGGTTATCTGGTCAGCTAGCAAGAAAAGAAACTGGATGCAAACCATAAACTAATTGCTCACATGTAATGTTGCTTTATATATTGCTGACTTTTTAGGCTTCTTTTACTTTTTATGATACATTACAGTCTATAATAATCACATAAAACTTTGCCTTATCTGTAGTTTCTTCTTCTTAGGGTGTCTGTCCGCTCCGAACATTGGCGATCATTCTGGCTATGACTTTGTTGGTTGCTATATGAAATAGCTATTGAGGTCTTTCTATACCATGCTCTTAGGTTAACAAGCCAGGATATTCTTCTTCGTCCTGGGATCCCTTTTCCTTCCATTTTACCTTGTAAAATGCATTGAAGTAGCTCGTTTCTGCCTTGATTTCTCATATGGCCCACGTACTGTAGCTTACGGCACTTCACAATGTTAACCAAATCCTCAGTTATGTTTATCCTCTGCAGTACTTCTTCATTGGTGACTTTGTCTTGCTTCTTAGATGTAGCAATTCATCAGTTTGATCAGGGTAGTTAAATTATTATGTATAGGTGCTTAAATAAAACAAATATTACTTTTTGATTAAATCTATTTTACTTTTTATAAAATGAATAGGTGGCAACAAATTAGTAAAACATGCACACTTTTGTCCAGACACATAATCAAAACTACCAATTCTTGAATCACAATTAGGGCAATTAATTCTACCTTTAGACCATTCTTCAGCTTCAATTCGATCTTTTATCCAACTAGGAAGATTCTCGTCATTTATAAATATATTGGTTTCTTCAACGTTAATATCACAAACTCTAGAATTATCCATTGGACGACCATGGGCATTTAAAATTAGGTTAGTTTTGATGAGATCTGGGCTAAAGATAGTTTTACGGCATTTTTTGCATTTTATTTCTTGGAACATTCTGAAACAAAAGAAAAGATTAATTGAAAATTCTAAACAAAATTTCTGCATATGTTACAACACAAATATATATTATCAATTAATAAGATGAAGACATCAATTGTGGGCAATACCCTTATTGGACATTTTAATTTGTCTGTAAACCTGTCTTCCAGATGTTGGTGTTCCTGGCATTTCATCACCCATTACTTTGAATTTTGATATACAATAATTACATACATGTTAACCTGTTAGATACATATGGAATATGTAAAAATCATAGCCATGCTGTTAGTAATTTAATAATTGTCTATTAAATTATGCAGTTCCTTAACATAAGAGTACATTAATAGGTAAGTTAAATAATTTTGAGTTTGTTTTGGCATAAATCCACTCATGAATATTGGATACTACACTTATTATAACAGATATTGAAATACATCTCTTGTTAAGAATACACACCTAATAAAAAGACAAGTATTAAACATGCTTGTATTTTTATTATTTTCCAGATATACCTACCTTTCTAAAATTTCTATATTCTTTTAAATATACAACATTAAAACTAAATTTCTATATTCTTTTAAATATACAACATTAAAACTAAAGAAACTCAAATATGTATATATTGTCACAGTATAAATAACAACTGTTGTTGTCTATACTGTGATATTGTTATGATTAACCTATCTATCTTAGTTTACATAACCTTACTTTCAGTTTTATTTTCTTCTTGTTTGATATCTGCATTTTGCGATTTACCAGTACCAGTATCGTTTTTAGTTTCAGTGAGCGGAGAAGTAACAACTGTTTGTAGAACGTTCCACTTTTTCATTTTGATTATAACAATTTGAATTACAATATAAAATTAACTTGTATTATATCAGCTACAATATGGTTTAAGTAAATTATAAAATTCTTATCACACTTTGTATTATCAATGTATTGTCTTAATTAATACAATCTGCAATTTTTTGTGTATTTTTAAGATAAAAATGTAATTAAAGGCCCATAGGTAATTCTTCACTCACATAATAAAATGCGTATAATCAAATATTATCAAAATTGCCATAATAAAAGTAATTAATAGAAATACCAACTACAAATAAAATTGAATGATAAGGATATAATAATCTTTAAATGGGAATATTAAGTCTACTATTAAGTCTATTGACAATAAGGAATACCAGGAATTTAAATATGTCACGGAGTTCAAAACTTTGTAAATGGTAATTATAAAGAAATAAAGCGTCTTAGAAAATATTGAGGGCAAAACATATCGTGATACTGAATAAAGGTGAATTAAAGCTTTTAGGTAGCAATGTTGGCAAGTATATTTAATATATTTATAAATTTTGTTTCTATATTTTCAGGGCAGCCAGTGCGGAACCAAAGACTACAATAGAAGCGTTTATATTAATCAGTGAAGATTAATTTTTCAGACTGCTCGTATGGCTGGCTCTTAGGTTTCTAATAAGACTGCTTAGTTCTGAAAATAACTTTCTTTAAAACGGCGACGTGTATCTGCGAATTTATATCTGCTATTGTTGTTAATTATATTACATCGTTTTATCATATAATATTACATTATATATATTCGGTTGTAGGTATTTATGTTTTCACAATTTAAGGACATGAAAATGACTAAATATTGTTACAAAGTTTGCAGAATTTCATTTTATTTAAAAATGCATTTATCAAGACATTTTAAAAATAAACAAGCAAAAAATAAAGTAAAGTGAAATTTGCGAATATTCATTTTCGCGACCGGATTCTCTATTTACCTATTATATATAGATGTTACAATCATCGTCCTAATTTTCTTCTTCTTCCTTCTTGTATGTAGACTTTAAAGCCTGTTTCTTCTTCAATATTAGCCTCCTGAATTGTCGTACCAATTTATCTTGGTCTGACAATACTTCTTCGTCCATTTGGTGACTGATCTCGTGCTATTGGTATTATCCTATCTTCTGCCATTCTACTAATGTGTTCGTTCCACTCCTGCTTCCGTTTTTTCACCCATCCATATTGCATGCTCTTCTTACGTTTTCGCTTCTCTCCTTATCTAACAGACTTTTCGCTGATATTCGTCGGAGTATTTTTATCTCTGTTGTTTCTAGTAGTAGTCTCGTTTTAGATGTGTCAGGTGTTATCTCCGCTTTATAGATTCTTGTTTTTGTGCCTTGTCTTAGGTGTTTGTTCCTCCAGATTGTGTCATTAAGAGAACCCGCCGCTTTACTTGCTTTTAAGCTTTGTTATCGTACTTCTTCTTCAACATCTCCGTAACTATTTCCAGATATCTAAACTTTGCTTCCTGCTTTATTATTTTCCCTTCAATTTCTATTTTACATTGTAGTGGGTATTTAGATGTTGTCCTGATTTTGAAAAAGATAATTCAGGTATAATAATCTTTCTTGTACATCTTTAACTTTTTTTAAGTAGGTATATTCATGAATATAGGCATTCAATGACAATATTTAAAAATTTGACAAAAAAAAAATAAGTTTCAAAAAATATTCAAACAATACGTCCGAACATACTGAATCTTGTTTTACTTGCCAAAAATTGTAAATTTTATTGAATTTGAGGCTGGACAAAAATAGTATTCAACAATTGTACGTGTTCCTCCGCCCTGGCTGCCCCGAGACACAAGTATGGCTCTCTACTTTTTCCTACATAAAAACTTGTGAAATACATATTATGAAATAAAAGTTGATTAATGTTAATATAAACATTGGCAAACTTATATTAATACTTGAAAAAAGTGGATATAGGTATAACTTATACTTGTATATTTATTTAAAAAAATTAACAGATAAATAATATTAGGGTAAAACTGAAAGGCCCATCCCAATAATTTCGTCATTTTTGAACGTACGCGAGTATTCGGTTTGTCTCCGTCTACAGAATATATAGGTAATACATTAAAAATTAGTAGATAAATTTATGTCTTTATTTCTCAAAAATTTCAAGGTTCCGCCATTTTTTAAAATACAGAGCTCTAGAAGCTCTCCCAATTTTTGTTGGTGCTAAATGTGATCTAGATTACGGGTACCTACTCCATAGTTACTGGCAGAATAGCCAAGGATTAGGTACTTATATAACGAGGTACTGTGAATACGGAGAAGGTACAACCCCCTTCACATTCGCGGATGACCTCGCATAACTACATGGCAGAATAGCTAAGGATTAGGTACTTATATAACGAGGTACTGTTAATACGGAGAAGGTACAACCCCCTTCACATTCGCGGATGACCTCGCTGTACTGGTAGTGGACCGGGATGAGCCAGATCGCAAATGACGGGTTCGGAACGCAGGCCGCATCGTAAAGAAATGGATAACGCAGCACGTACTGAAAACTTGCGGCAGAGAAAACCGAAGCCATCATTCGAAAGGGGTAAAGGAACAGGCAAAGTGTTGAAGTACAATGTGCGGGAGCATGTCTAACACCTAAGAAATAAGTAAAGTACCTAGGAGTGACATTGCACCAGAATGGAAAATGGGAGAAGCACGTGCGAGAGGTGGTCCGGAATGATGCTAATAGTACAGCTGCGTTGGGGAGGGACTCAGATCAATAGGTGTTGTACAGTCGATTGTCCGCTACGCGGCACCAGTCTGGAGCGAGATTGTAGAGATAACGGCCTATAGGAGGCTCATGACACAAGTGGACAGAACAAGTCTGTTGCTAGTGACATGCGGACTATGTGTGCGGCAACCTTGTGGACCATCATTGGATGTGTTCCATTGCCTGTTTTGGCGGTGGAAAGAAAATAGCTCTATGAGAAAAGAGGCCCAAACCTTACTATGGCCGAGAGAAGACAGAAAAGGGAAAGGTCAATTGAAAGATGGCAGAAAGAATGGAACAACACGGAGGATGTCGCACAGTGGACGAAAATGCTGATCCCGAACATAAGAGATTGGATGCCTATACTGTGGATACTCGGACACTATGACACATACGATGTTATATTGCAACAGATGGATAGTAGAAAGGAACAGGAAAGAGAAACAGGTGTGAATTTTGTTACAGTAAGAGAAATGATTGAGAGAATGATTGAAAATAAATCAGGTTGGACTAGTACACACAACTCTATTCGTGCAGTGATCAAGAAAAAAGATGAGGAAGAAAGACAGCTGGACCACTGGCAAAGGTAAGAGTAAAAGATGAGAGAAGTTGAAGCTAGAAAAATGGGTCAGACTGTATGTTTTAGAATGCGTGTGTCAGACTGTGGGGAAGGAGGAAATGCTCGTCTGGGGGTGATGCCGATTCAAATGAGAAATATGAAAAAATAAATATGAAAGGAAATGTGCAAAAAGAGTATTGAGGTATTTAAAAGACACTATTAATTATTTTCTGATTTACTCAAAAATCATCCAAAATCGCAAGGTTTTGTAGATACCGATGGGGCAAGTAATACATTAGTTGTTAGATCCTTTATTGAATATGTATTTAAGCTTTGTGACTCTGCAATATATTGGCAAAGTGCTAAATAAAACACCGTAGCTTCATCTAGCTGCAAGGTAGAATGTACGGCCTTGTCAGAGGCTACTAAAGAGGCTGTTTTTCTTATGGGTTTTGCTGATTTAATTAAAAAAACTGAATGTATTACTTTATTTATTGATATAATCATAAAGTGCATTAAACTTATCAGCAAATCCAATTTATCAAAAAATGAGTAAGTATATTGATATGATATAATGTTTTGAGTTTACAAATGCCAAATATGTATATTGGGATTTGATATTCGTTGGCCTTTTCAATTAATATTTTTATCGTAAGCAGATGGTCGCTTGTACTGAATCCTTTTCTAAAACCGGCTTGCTCTCTTGACTGGTAATTATCTAACTTAGCTGTTAATCTGTTTGTTGGTAGTTTAGTTAAACAGTTTGTACATTAAATTAAGTGGCGGTATGGGTCTATAGTTTTCAGATCTTTTCTATCGCCTTTCTTAAATAGTAATAGTGTTATTGCCTCGTTCCATGTGGTGGGTATCTGTTTTGTGTTCAATATTTTATTCATTAGTACATAAAGGACTTCCACTGTAGTTTTCCCCCATTTTTTAGCATTTCCACAGTTATTCCATCTTTTCCAGAAGATTTGTTATTCTTCATTTCTTTTAGTGCCTTTTTTATTTAATTTTTACTGATTTCTGGTTGTAGGTCAAAGTTAACCTTCTTTATTTTCAGTTGTAACTGATTACAGATTTCTTGGGTTGGTTTTTGTTCTGTTTTATAGAGATTTGTATAATATTCGTGCGTTATCTGTAAAATTTCTTTTATATTGATGGTCTTTACTCCTTTGTTCTTTATGCTATTACTTTGTATGTTTCCCAGGTTCTGCTTTAAGCACTTCATGCTTCTATTTTTTTCAATTGTTTTTTCTATCTTTTCTTTCTGTACTCTTCGGTTACACTCCTTGATATTTTTTCTAATAGTTTTGTTTATTTCTTTGTATTACATTTTATTTCTGTCCCCTTGTTCTAGTAATGTTCTTCTTGTGTTCATAAAAATCTTTGTTTCCTGGGATATGAAACTTTCTTTTTTTGTTGTTGTCTGTGCTATTTCTTTACCCACTTTAATTAGACTTTCAGTAAATATCATGTTTATTTCATCGATATGATTGTGTTCTATATCTTCCTTGGTCAGCAATATTTCCTTTATTCTCTCTTCGTATGTGTGTTTTTCTTGTTTTAGTTTTTTCATATCTAATTTCTGATTATTTTCCATTGTGTTTGTTGTTTCAAATCTACTATCAATGATCAGCTTGGCTCGGACTAGTCTATGGTCGCTACCAGTCGAGAAGTGATTTAGGGCTGTTACGTCTTTAACCATTTGTAGACTTTGAAA